TGTTGTCTCGGGTTCACCAGCATCTGCAGTTCCTACTATCTCTGAAGGCTTCTATGTTGTTCACAGCCTCAAGTTTTTCGACTATCTGAGAACCAATCACACAATTTTTGGCAGGCAGATGTCTTTATTACTGATAAGTGGTCACCAGTTCATAGAAAAATCTATCATTTGTAGCCAACCAAAGCTTCATTTCTACACAACCTTTCAGCTTCAGCAAGTCTGTAAGTTATACTCAGACATTGCATAACACTATGTAAACAGTATTTACAATGAGTGTTAGGTTCCTTGCTTTAAAAACATGCAGCAATCCTCCAGCAATCTTTCTCCTTTAAAAATATAGGAAAATAAGAAAGACACGGTCTTTACAGCAAACTGCATAGGCTGATACCCAAACAGCCTGCTGCTGTTCTTCGATGATATTGAAATGGCACTGCACAAAGGAATTTCTCCCCCAATTTTCCACTTCACTTTGATTTTTTTCCTGAAAGTTAAATAGAATTCAATGCAGAATGGGTGTTAGATTTTGTTTTGTATAAGATACGTATGTTGATGGCAAGGCCAGCATTTGTTGCCTATCTCTAGTTGCAAATGGGTGCAAAGAAATTGCTAGACCGCTTTACTGGGCAGTTAAGAGTCAACCATATTGCTGTAGGTTTGGAGTTCTATATAAGCCAGATCAGCTCAGGGTGACAGATTTCCTTCCTTAAAAGATATTAGTGAACAAGATGGGTTTTTACAGCAATCAAAATTGGTTACATGGTCACCAGTAGACAAGCTTCTAATTCCAGATTTTATTGAATTCAAATTTCACTGCGTGATTCAATACTATATCCCAGAATCACCTCTGCTTAATAACTTGATTGTCATATTCATCAGCTGTTTTCTTAGTTTACTGCTCACTTATCCTCCCTTTATCTCTCCCTTCATGTAGTTCCCCCAACCAATATTTCTGAGCACTCCTTTGACTCAGCCATCACAGACAGCCGTGCTGCTGCTATCATTTCAATTACAAATAAATTCATCTCTGATCACTTCCGTATATCACACTCCATCTGCATGCCTCTTACCTGTCTCAAGCTTACCTCCTTCTGTGTTTACCTGTGGGGAAAATAGCTCTCTCTCAATTCACTTACAACTATGTGGCCAAAATTCCAACAGTCTGGCCTTTAGTATTCCATTCACCATTTCTTCATTTGCCCAACTACACCATCACCTTTTAGATGCTCTCAGCAAAGAGAATAAGTTCAAGCCACACACATCATTTGAATTGCTCGTGTGCTTTGTGAGCCTAAAGGTTGTAGTTGCTTTCTTCATGGCAATTCCTTGGCCAACCAATCAGATCCTCTTATGCCTTTGGTATAAATTGCTGTCATCATTTGAAATTTGGCATTTTTGCAATTGTCCTGATATGTGTAATTCAAAAGCTTCAACAATATCTCTGTTCTTGCAGAATTTTACTCCACTACCACTCTGATTATTCTTTATTATATTATTTTCTGCTTCTACAAGTTATTCTATTTTTCTCCTGTAGTAAGAATTTTGTTATCTTTCCTGTCCCTGATGTTTAACAGATTACACTTATACCCTCCTGTGTGCATTTCCCCATCCCCCACTTCTTAAATATAAGGATTGCATTAACTATCAGCTAGATTTCTAGTACAACATATTTAATTTTAAATTAACAATTAAATACATGTATTCAAGTCCAAGGGGACCAATAATGGGCCCAGGTGCCCTTTCTGTTTCTGAACGCAAACCACATCCTTTGGGTGCCCTGAATTAGGAACCATAGTCATAGTGGAGGCTCCTTTGCTAATGTCATAATGGGGTTAATTTGTTTTATATTGGATTAGCAAAACTTCTTAACTTTTATGCTGTTCATTTGGAATGTCCATCAAAAGGTTAGGTTGAGTATGATATATTTTACAACCATGGCTTTGTCAGACAATCACAGAACTTAGTCATTCATATTTCACTCATAGACATTTACAGCCCATTCAGCCCATGTGTCTGTGTCAGTCAGCAAAGCTCTGTCCACAGTACACTCAATCCCATTTCCAGCTTTTGTTCCATAGCCCTGGAGGCTATACCAATGCAAGTGAACATTTAAATACATGTTTAAATGCTACAAGGGTTTCTGACTCAACCATTTTTTCAGTCAGTGGGCTCCACACCTCACCACCCTTTGGGTGAAAGAATTTATCTTCAACTCCTCTCCTAGCCTTCTACCTGTGACCTTAAATTGATACAACACCACCTCCCCCAACCAAGACTTATTAACTCCTCAATAATGCAAATGTGCATTCCTACCCATCCTATCAATGCTCCTCATAATCTTATACACTTCAATCAGGTCCCTGTCCAACCTTGGCTGCTTCTAGGAAACCAGTCCTAGCCTATCTAATTCCTGCACAAATCTCAGACCCTCCAGCCCAGACAGCATCCTGGTAAATCTGCTCCGCACTCTCTCTAGTGCAATCACATTCTCCTTATAATGTGGTACTAGAACTGCATGCTTTGCGATGGCCTAACCAACATTTTATATAGTCCCAGCATAGCTCTTTGCTGCTGTATTCTATATTAATAAAAGCAAATGTCCCACTTACCTTCTGAACCATCTTATCCACTTCCCCTATTACCTTCAGAGATCTTTGAATATGCATACCATGGTCTCTCTGATTTTCAGTACTTTGCAGGGTCTTACCGTTCATAGTGTAATCCCAAGCTTTGTTAGCAAGCCCCAAGTACATTACCTACACACTGAAAACAGCACGTGGAACTTTGGAGGGCCAGCAGCTGCACAGTAGAAAGAGGACAGGCTAGGTCATTATAGACTACATCACTCAGAGTGCCCCCTGGTTGTCAGGCTAAATGACCACATGAACTTAGGCTCTTGCTGCAGCACAATATGAACTTAAGAATGGCACTTATTCCGAGAACGAAGCACCCCCCATGAGCTTGTTTGTGTCCCAGAGCTGAGCACCATTTTCACCGTGCTGTCCCAGGCCCTGTTTGTAATAATGCCTCTGCTATCCCTTAACTAGATTATCTTAAAATTTGTGAGTACAATCCATTCAGACCAAGGGCGTTATCCTTTATGAACTTGTTTAGTTTGTACAACACAAGATCTTCTTTTATTTTAAACGTACTCTCTCATAGCTCATTTCATCCATTCAATGTCGTGTCAACATGTTCTATCTTGCTAGTATTTAGCAAAATGAAATATTTAGTGAATATTTCTACCTTCTCTATTATTACCTGACATATTGTCCTTAATGATCCTATTCAATTATAGCTTCCTTTTTGCTGTTGTTTTTATTGATCTTCCAGTAAGATGTCTGAACTATTTTGTTTTATCACCTTCAAATTGAAAATGTAAGTATGATAATTTTGTCTAGTGAATGTTCTTCAATTTTACATCTAGTCAGGGACGCATTCATTTTCCAGTTTTGCAAGTATTTGGGCTGAGAACTGCATTGTCTTATTCCAGACTTGTCCTGTTGAGGCCTTGACACATGCTAACCTTTGCTGCACAGAATGTTCAGACCTGTGATCAGTACTTTACAAAGAGCCACTTTGTTTTTATTCCCCCAAAATTTCCCCTGTTGGGATAAAAATAGCCAATTTAAACAGGTGACAGTTTTAGACCAATTATAATAGGTACATTAATTTTACATTTCCCACAAATCAATTTGTTCCTGTTTACTATTTATTTTCCCAGATCCATCTGAATTATTTGTGCCATCAACCAATTACTTTGATATTATCTACCTTCGATCTGATGGACCTTCAGTGATCCCATGTCGCGTGAGCACACCTTTGGCTAATGTCACATTGCATCGAGAAATCCCCCCTCAAAAGCTTACTGTTGATGGATCAGTCCTTAGTTATGATGCAAAACAAGGATTTGTTATTCATAAACCTAGTCTTGAGCAGAAGGGAGTTGTGTACTGCATGGCAAGCCTAGAGGGAACTCCACAGATATCAAGCAATTACCTTCTTTTGTACACTGAAGGTAACATTGAATATCTTATTGTAAATAGATAAAACATTAATTCATCTTTTGGTAATTGCTGGTGTGTTGACTTTTATTAAATATCTCAACATAATTATTATAGATTTTATATTTTCCTTTGTTGTTTAAAAAGTCATAGATTCCAAATTTAAGTTTCAAGAGATCTCTATTTGTTACCTGAACCAAATTGAAAATGTTGAATTAACTTGCTTTTCTCCATGTGACACAGAAGAATGCCTGATAGCTTTTGGAGACTCTGCTCATAACTGATGTCTCCAATAGTGGGAGTAAATATCAGAGAATGAGGTGTGCTGTCTTCCACACCTCATTCTCCCATTTGTACTCTGTGAAATGAAACTCTGTACCTGGAACAGAGGGACTAAATTTAACCAGTTTAAATGACTAACCTCAAGTCTGGTTAAAAATGAACACTCGTATTTTTATGTTATTTTCTTTTCTCTTTGTGTGATTATGATATATAGGGACAATTTACACTAATTATACTTCAGTTAATACAGTCAATTAACTCATCAAAGTTACTTTTGCCATCCTTGTATCTTGGCCTCCTTTATCGTCTCTGTAACTTTTGGGATTATTATTTGTATGATTATTTTTGAACACCTTTTCCCTGTTTGTTTCAGTGAGCCTGGACTTATTTGGTTCCACTCTCACCTATCTAATCGTAAACAGAAACATTTTTCTATTGGCTACTGTTCCCAATGTTGCATCAGTTTAATAAGTTTCTTCAGTATCTTGTATGTTATAATAAGAGCCTCCTATTATCCTAAACTCCATCTGACGTAGACTTAAATTTTTCAACCTTTCTTCATAAGTTAACACGTTCATTCCAAGAATGAAACAAGTGAACCTTTTCTGAACAGCTTCTGAAACAATTATACATTTTTAAATGTTTTACAGAAACTTTTGCTATTTTTTTGTATTCCTAGGTAAATTTACCTCATATTCTAATCTTCCCTTTTCATTTTTTTAGTGATTTTTTTTTTTTTTTACATAATTTGTTCAAACTTCTGACCTGCACCTGCCTGGACAATCAAATGCCTTTTTCTTTAAGTTTGACAGTAGCTTTTGCCTTTCTAGTTGACCACGGATGGCAGATCTGTCCCTTGTAATTTTTTGTATACTTGGGATGTATCTCTCCTATATATTCTAAAGTATCTCCTCAAATGTCTGCAACTGCATCTATATTTAATTATGCTTTAACCTTATTTAACAATTCCTTTAGATTGGCCTTATTTAGGGCTTTCGTATTGGCCTAATTTAAGTTTTAAAAGATAATCTCAGTTCCACTCCCCTCACCCTCAAACTGAATATAAAGTTCAATCAGATTATGGTCACTTTTACCATCACTGAATCCCCTAGTATTCACATCCTGGATGTGTCCATGACCAGAAACTCAACTGGACTAGCATATAAATAAAAGAGCAGGTTAGATAGGAATTCTGCAGTGAGTAACACCCAAATCCTGTTCACCATCTACAAGACACAGGGCAGGAGTGTGATGGAATGCTCTCTACTTGCCTGGATGGGTGCAGCTGCAAAAACCCTCAAGAAGCTTGATACCATCCAGGTTAAGCAGTCCACTTAACTGTCATTACATCCACAAACATACAGCACTGTCATTTAGTAGCAGCAGTGTGTACCATCTAGAGGATGTACTGCAAAATTTTTCCTAGGTTCTTTGGATAGCACCTTCCAAACCCATGACCTCTACCATCTAGAAGGACAAAGACATGACATAGATAGGAGTACCATCACCTGCAAGTTCCTCTCCAAGCCGCTCACCATCCTGACTTGGAACTTAATTGCTGTTCCTTCAGTTTCACTGGGTCAAAATCTGGGAATTCCTTCCCTACCAGCATTGTGGGTCAACCTACAACAAATGGACTTCAGCAGTTCAAGAAGGTAGATTACTACCACCTTCTCAAGTGCAACTAGGGTCAGGCAATAAATACTGACTCCATAGAAATACAAAGTATGAGACAGTGACTGTTAATCTATTTGACAAACCAGGATAATATCCATCAGATGTGCTTTTTATGAAATTATTAGTAATCTTGATACATCTCTTTAAATTATCACCAGGGAACCTTCTGGTATCTACAACTTCAGAATTGATGCCAAACCGGCTGAAGTCATCATGCTGATATATTGACCAGTTAGGAGAGTTGTTCAATTAAGGAACAGTAACCTCATCTCAATTTGACTGGACAATAATAACTACAGAGCCAGTTAATAGTCAGGCATCATGTTGTTAGATATTACAGATTTGTTTACCTTTTAACTGGGCAATGTATTCTTTTCTACGTTGACTATTTGCTATTCATTACTTGAATGCTTTAAATTGTTGTGAAGAGGCATAAAGAGCCTACAAAAGGATATGGAAAGCCTAAATGAATAAATAAAGATGTGGCAAATAAAGTACAATGTGGTAAAGTACGAAATTGTTCTTTTTGGCAGAAAGAATAAAAAAAACATATTATCTAAATAGTAAGAAGTTATAGAGCTCAGAGATGCAGAGAGATCTGGGTGTCCTAGTGCATGGATCACAGGTTAGTATTCAGGTACAGCAAGTAATGAGGAAAGGTAATGGAATGTTATGTTTTATTGCAAGGGGAATTGAATGCATGAGTAGGAAGGTTATACTTAAGTTATACAGGGCATTGGTGAGACCATATCTGGAGTACTCTGTACTCGTCACCAAACTTACAGAAGCATGTTAATGTATTGGAAGCAATTTCTGAGATTAATATCTGGAATGAGCGGGTTTGACTTATGAGGAGAGGTTGGGCAGGCTAAGCCTGTATCCGCTGGAGTTTAGAAAAGTCAGAGGTGACTTAATTGAAACAAATAAGATCCTGGGACAACTTGACGAGTAGATATGGAAAAGACGTTTCCTCTTGTTGGAGAGTCTAGAAATAGGAGTCATAGTTTTAAAATAACGAGATGCCCATTTAAAGCAGAGATGAAGAAATATATTTTATCTCAGAAGGTTAAGGGTCTTTGGAATTCCATTTCCCAAAGGCAGTGGATGCAGAATCTATAAATATTTTTAAGGCAGATGTAGCTAGATTCTTGACTTGATGGAGGATTATCAGGGATATGCAAGAATGTAGAATTGAGGTTAAAGTCAGATCAACCAAAATCCTTATTGAATGGCGCAGCAGGCTTGAAGGGCCAAGTGACGTGCTCATGTTCCTTGTTCAAACGTTTAGTTCACTCTGTGATTCTCGGATAAGATTCAACCTTTGTAGTACCTATTGAAGACAGAACACATCGTAAATCATGCATCCAGTTGAATTGTATATCATTAAATTTGAGTCATTATCCACCCCAAGACTTGAATTTCAATATTAATTTCCCATTCATGCATAAATGGTATAGCTATAATAGTAGGAATTTGAAGCTGTGATACTGTTTATTTTAAATGATGTAGATTGTCAATCCATTCAAATAAACAGAATCATCTCTTTTAAAGCATGAGACATGCATAAATTACATTTTTACGGAACACTGAATCGTCATCAAAACAAATGAAATTTAGCCAATCTGATATGGTACAAGTTTGCTCGCTCTGATATACAATCTCTTAACCAGACCTGAAATAATTCTGAAGTATCACAGGATCTTTTCCTTTGAATCAGATGCAACGTGTACTTAATCTGAAGTTTTAAAAGCTATTGTACTTCAGTATCAAAGAGGCATTATGGTTGAATAATCATAGTTTTCATTCACAGATAACTAATGATACCAGCTTCTTCTCTGTTACATTATGATCAGAGAAATCAGGACTGAATTGAATAAGTGGTGAAGTTGTGCCTGGAGTATTGTTACATTTATATTTAATGACGCTTAATGTGCACTTATAATGACAGACATTTTAAAAAATAATTTAGCGGGTGAAATGGTTTTGTACCCAATCTTATGAAATAACAAACCTATAATATTGGCTACTATAATTAGCTTTGTTTGTGTGTTAGGAATTGGAAAATAATGCAAGCACACAACAAACCTATAATATTGGTACTATAAATAGCTTTGTATGTTAGGAATTGGAAAAAATATGCAAGCAGAAGCCCTTTCATTGATTACTAAGTTCAGAACCACAATGCTACGTGTGTACTTTGGAAACATATCAGAGTTAATAGGACGCTACCTTTCACCCACTATGGTAGAAGATCATACCAGTATTCATTGTTTAAGCTCAGACGTGAAACAATTAATTGGCTACAGTACTATAGAAATTCTAGTAAATTTAAAATTGCATCCAAATTTGAATCAATGTCTCCAGGTGAAAGGTAAGTGAGAAAAAAAATCATTCAAAATAATTTCTAATAAAAACAATTGTAGTTCTCTATAACAAAGTGGTTAATAAGGGAACTTGATTCCTGTGCAAATGAGTTTTGCGATGTGCAACCTGTGAATATTTTTACTTACATTTAATACAGTGAAACTTTATATTTTTAAAAGACATTCATTTTGTGTTTAGAGCTTTACTGAGGAATTGATCAGTTTTCTTTGTGAAATGTGATTCATAATTTCAGGTAACTTGTCACTAACTGAGTATTGAACTGTGTTAAATGTGTGCAGCTACCAGTGCCCCTCCATCTACAAGTATTGCAGCTTCATCAAATGCAGTAGCTGGTGGCGATCAGGTTAATGTGACATGTACGGTGGTAGGAGACCCAGATATACCGGTGGACTTCACTTGGAAATATCCAGGACAGTGGGTAATATGTTTTATTTGCTTTATTTCTAATTAATGTTATTTACTGTTTATCAAGTAGATGTATATACATCAGAATGGGAGTCAAGGTTCCCATATATGTTCCTAAACTGTGATGTAAAGAAAGGAAAAGTGATAGGTCAGAGCAAAGTAGCCTCTTTATAATTTGTCTTTTATTATACAGTTTATATTTACACATTAATCTCTTAAATTGAAATGCTTGTGGTATTTCTGGAGAAAGTGGAGAACTGAGATGTGTTGAAAACACAAATTACTTTCTAATAGATGTGGAATATTTATTTTACCAGGATCAGGTCTTTGTTGGAATAATGTGAGCTCCAAGCTATATTGAAAATTAATAGTCTTCAGTGAGTTTGTAAAAACATATGAATTAGGAGTAGGCCATTCAGCCCTGCAAATCTGTTCTATCATTCAAACAGATAATGTCTGATTGATTTAAACCTCAAATCCACATTCCTGCCTACCCATGATAACCTCTCACCCTCTTACTTAAAAAGAATCTATCAATCTCTGCATGATAAATATTTTACGATGCTGCTTCCTCTGCCTTTTTAGGAAAAGATTTCCGAAAATTCTCAATCTTCTGAGAGACATTTTTTTAGTCCCATCTCTGGAACGATAAAAGACAATAAAAAGAGATAGTTTGACGAAGAGAAAGCAGCTGGTTAAAATACTGTTGTCCTACCGAAGGCTGAGAGTGGAGATATTGTCATTGACCATGCAGACATGATCAACAATTATTTTGCTTCAGTAATCACAGCAGAAAAGGAGGATAGCTTGCCGGAAGTCCTAAAGAAATTAACACAGGATCGGGGACACGGTCTAAATAAGATTAAATCATCAAGTAAATCATCAACAATGAAACAAAGAATTAATGGACTTGAAGCATGCCAAAACACATTGCAGATGCCCTAACCAGTTCCCTGGTTTTAGGAGGATTTTTGCTCATGTGAAACCACTCTTGTGTCGTAGTGAAACCAGGGAGTTACGGGCCAATTAGCCTAACATCTGCAGAGAAATTGTTGAGGCCTGTAATCAAGGATAGGGTAACTGACCACTGTGAAAAACTTCAGTTAATCAGGTAGAGTCAGCATGGATTCATGAAGGGTAGGTCACATTTGACAAACCTCATAGATTTTGGAAGAGGGGACAAGGGTGACTGAGAAAAGTCCATTTTGTTTATAGGGACTTCCAGAAGGCTTTTGATGAAGTCCCACATCAGAGACTGTTAGCTAAAGTGGAAACTCATGGAATTGAGGGCAAATTACTTACATGGATATGAAATTGATTGGCAGGAAACAGAGAGTTGGAATAATGGGAAAGTACTCAGTTGGCAGGAAGTGACTAGTGGTATCTTGCTGTGAACTGTGTTGGGACCCAATGACTCATAATATTCACTAACAACTTGGATAATAGCATTTAAAAAGTCAAATATCCAAATTTTCTAATGACATAGAATTGGGCAGAATTGGACAGTGTCGATGACAGCAGAAAACAACATTAGGACATAGATAGATTAAGTGAATGGGCAAAGCTGTGACAGACTGATTATAATATAAACAAATACAAAATTATCAATTTTGGATCGAGAAAGGATACATCAGGGTAGTTTTAGAAAGCACAAAGTTAAATGCAGTGGATTGAGTCACAGAGTCATACAGCACGGAAACAGATCCTTTGGTCCAACTCATCCATGCCGACTAAATTTCTCAAACTAAACTAATCCCACTTGCCTGTGTTTGGCCCATATCCCTTTGAACCCTTCCTATTCATGTACCTGTCCACATGTCTTTTAAATTTTGTTACTGTACCTGCATCCATTACTTCCTCTGGCAGTTCATTCCACATATGAACCACTCTCTGTGTCCCTTTTAAATCTTTCTCCTCTCAACTTAAAATTATGCCCTCTAGTTCCCTACCCTAGGGAAAAGACCTTTGCTAATCACCTGATCTATGTCCCTCATGATTTAGTAAGGTCACCCCTCAACCTCCAACGCTCCAGTGAAAAAGGTTCCAGCCTATCCAACCTTATAACTCAAACCCTCCAGTCCCAGTAACATCCTTGTGAATCTTTTCTGCACTTCTCCAAATTAATAATATCCTTCTAATAGCAGGGCAACCAGAACTGTACACAGTATTAAAAAGTGGCCTCGCCACCGTCCTATACAACCTCAACATGACATCCCAACTCCTTTACTCAATGGTCTTAGCGATGAGGGAGTTCTGGTGCATAGGTCTTTAAAATGCCACAAACAGGTGCAGAAAATAGTCAAGGAGGCTAATGGCATGCTGGTCTTAACATCTAAAGGGCTGGAGTATAAGGATACAGGAGTTACGCTGCAGTTCTACAAAACCCCAGTTAAACCGCACTTGGTGCACTGTGAACAGATCTGGGTATCACCCCTCAGGAAGGATATTTCGGCCCTGAGGAAAGTTCAACACACATTTACAAGCATGATGCTTGGACTGCAGGGTATAGATTATAAGGAGAGATTAGACAAATTAGGCCTTTGTTCTCCAGAATTTAGTAGGTTAATGGGTGATCTAATTGAAGTCTTCAGGGTGTTAACAGGGAAAGACAAACTATTTCCATTGAATGAAGATCCTGGAACCAGGGGATATAGTCTAAGAATTAGGCCAGACCATTCAGGATAGACAGAAGCATAGAAACATAAAAGGAGGAGCAGGAGGAGGCCAATTGGCCCTTCGAGCCTGCTGCGCTATTCATCACGATCATGGAGTTAGAAAGCTGCTCTACACTCAAAGTGTAGTGGAGATGTAGAATTCGCTTCCTCAGTTGGTGGATGATTCTAAGTCAATTGTTAAATTTATATCTGATATAGACAATTTTTGGTTAAGCAAAGGTATTGAGGGATATGGGCCCAAGGCAGGCATATGGAGTTAGGCCACTGATCAGTCATAATCTTATTGAATGGCAGAACAAGCTCAAGGGGCTGAATGGCCTACTCCTGTTCCTATGCTCCTCTGCTTTAAATGAGAAACCCCTAATTTTTAAACAATGAGCCTTGTTTCTAGATTCTCCCATAAGACGAAACATACTGTCCACATCGACCCTGTCAAGACCACATCAACCAAGTCAGCTCTTGCTCTTCTAAACACCAGTGGATTCAATCCTAGCCTGTCTAAACTTTCCTTGTAACAGAATCTGCCTTGTAAACCTTCTGTGAACTGCTTCCAACATATTTACATCCAGCCTTCAAAAAGATCGCTAATGCAGTAAGCACTACTCCAGATGCAGTCTCACCAGTGTCCCGTATAACTAAGACACAAACCTCCCTGACTCTGTATTCAATTCCCCTTGGAAGAAATTATAGCACTCTATCAGCTATTCTAATTACTTGCAACACCTGCACACTCGTATTTTATGATTTATGCACTGGGACACACAGATCTCTCTGTATTTCAAAGCTATGCAATCTCTTGCCATTTAAATAATATGCTACTATTTTATCCAAAGTAGACAACTTCACATTTTCTGACATTGTACTCCCTTTATCACATCTTTGTCCACCCACTTAGCCAATTTATATCTTTCTAATCTTCCTTACACCCTCTTCACAACTTACTTTCCAATCTATCTTTGTATCATCAACAAATTCGGTTATCATATCTTCATCCTTGTAGCACACCATTCATCACATTTTGTCTACCTACTTTTCTGTTAGCTAGCCAAACACCTATCCAAGTCAACATGCTACCATCTACTCTGTAGGCTTTTGTTTTCCACTGGAAAGTTGTCAGCTGAGAGGAGACCTGATAGGAGATGTGTGAGGGAAGTGGTAGCAGCCTGGAATGCACTACCTGAAGAGGTGGTGGAAGCAGGCACATTGAAGACATTTAAGAGGTACCTAGATGGGCACATGAATAGGGAGGGAATAGAGGGATATGGATCGAAAAATGGCAGGTTCGTTTTAGATTAATTAGGGCATGATGGTTGGCACAGGCTTGGAGGGCCGAAGGGCCTGTTCCTGTGCTGTACTTTTTCATTTGTTCATTTGTTCAATAGCTTTTGATGTAGCACCTTATAAAATGCTTTCTGGAAATGTGTACCCCTTGTATGTCTCTTAGATTCCCTTCATCCACAGCAGAACTCCAACTGATTGGTCAAACATAATGTCCCTTTCACAAAACCCTTGCTCTCGAAGGAGTGTAGTGAAAATTTACCAGGCTGATTCCAGGAATGGTGGGGCTAACATATGAGGAGAGATTGACTAGGTTAGGATTGTTTTCGCTGGAGATCAGACGAATGAGGGGGTATCTCATAGAGTCTTATAAAATTCTAACAGGACCAGACAAGGTTAATGCAGGGAGGATGTTCCCGATGGTGGGTGTGTCCATAACCAGGGGTCACAGCATGAGGATTCGGGGTAGACAATTTAGGACGGAGATGAGGAGACATTTCTTCACCCAAAGAGTGGTGACCCTGTGGAATTCATTACCACAGGAAGTAGTTGATGGCAAAACATTGAACGTATTCAAGAGGCGACTAGATATAGCACTTGGGGCGAATGGGATCAAAGGTTATGGGCCAAAGCAGGATTAGGCTATTGAGTTGGACGATCGGCCATGATCGTGATGATTGGTGGAGCAGGTTCGAAGGGCCGAACGGCCTCCTCCTGTTCCTATCTTCTATGTTTCTATGTTTCCATAACTTTGCCTGATTACCTTGAATTTATCCAAAGTTCCTACTATAACTTCTTTAATAATACCTTTGAACATTTTCCCTATGACAGATGTTAAACTTATAATTTTATTCTTCCCTTTTGAATGAAGGAGTTTGCTTCCTTCAAATCCAATGGGACTGTCCCCAAGTCAATTGAGTTTTGGAAAATTAAAACCAGTGCATTAACTGTCTCACTGGCAACTTCTTTTAAGGTTCTTTCAAAATATTTTTAAAAAGCCAGCATCACTGACATATATTGTTAACGCTCAGGTTCGATTTGCCCAAAATAATATGTCATGAACAGTTCTTAATATTTAAGGAAATTAACAAAAGAGGAAAATATTATTTAATAGAAACATTAAGATCGTGGAGTAGATGCAGAATATACTTAGCAACATTTCAAACACCGCTTATAGAATCCCTCCTGAAGCAGTCACCAAATATAACGAAGGAAAAAAACAGTGAATGCCAGAAATCTGAAATATAAGCAGAAAATGCTTGAAATGCTCAGGTCTGTGGAGAGGGAAACAGAATTAACATTTCTGATTAATGACTTTTCACTTGAAGTGGTATTGTCATCATGCAATGATACCTTTGTACATATTAGGGCTATAGTACAGGCATCATTATAAGAAACCTCTGTCCTTCCTGTCAGATTACTTTACATTCTCTCATTGTTACGCTGTGTTCTGTCTTCTTGGTTAAAAATTCCACACAAAATAAATCAAATGCAGTAAGAGAAACGAATCATCAGTGAAGGTTAAGCATGTTGGTTTACTTGTATGTTAGTAAGATACTTTGTTGGCTTAAGTAAAAGTAGAACATTGTTCTACTGAAAGAACTGTGGATGCTGTAAATCAGAAACAAAAACATTAGCTGCTGGAAAAGCTCAGCAGGTCTGGCAGCATCTGTGGAGAGAAATCAGAGTTAACGTTTCACATCGAGTGACCCTTCCTCAGCACATTATTCACTTTGCTGACTTGCTGATTGACATTTTCCACTATGGTCCCTGTGTGGCTTCACACAACTTAGATAAACATGGATGCAATCCATCTTTCTAAGACAGCCCTGCAATGTTTCCTGCAAAGAAGTCACAAAATTGAAAATGATGAACATAAGTCCCTTTCTTCACTGACCAGTGAGATTTGTAAAAATAAGTTTTGCTCATCCAATCTGAAGAGGTTAGCATTGCATTTTTGGCATTGCTTTTTACATTTATTCAACAGCAGTTTCTTCTGACAGTGAGAAATGGTTATAACATATCATTTGTTAAAATATACATTACTAACTTTTTCATCTACGTAGATCAGGAATGCTGAAGTCACTTTGAGTTTCGCTTCTAGGTGCAATTGTTGTCATTTCATTCAGCACAAAAGAGAGATTGATATGGAGGTCTGCCTGATTTTTACAGTTCACTACAAGAACTTAAATATGTATTCAGTGTGCCTCTGGTATATTAAATCTTTGTAACTATCCAATTGTAAAGATAAATTTCTAATGAAGCAGTGATGTGGTGATTAACATTGTTTCCACAGGATAGTTGGATAGCAGTTCACACAGGGCTCCTCACACAGGGGGTTCTTAAATATGAGATCAGAGGGAAAAAACAAAGGGCGAGCAGTGATTTTTCACGGACAGGAGAAAACAGCCAGTCTGACAAACATAGGCATCGCTCAAGTTGTGGCAAACACATCACACTTTCTTGTACTTTTGGTAGCCAGTGAAGAAGCTGCAATAGCAGAGATCTATTCAGCCGTGAAATGTTACTTAGCATTGGGGAATGCAAGTCAAATAAGAAAAGATAATTTTAGGGATTTTCAAAGATAGGTACTGAAGATGTGCTAATGTGTTTTTAGATTGATTCCTTTCCATTGCATCCATTATTGTTGCTGCATTGATGTGTCATAAATCGAGGACAATCTAATGCTCGGATTACTTCAACAGGATGAAAGACCGGTGATCATCACGGAAAAATGGAGACTAATAGATCGGAACAATGGACATACCGTCAGACTATCAAAGAGTATGCTGTACATTGATGATATTGAAACTATTGACGTAGGGGATTACATCTGTATTGCACGAAATTTAATAGGAGAAACTATAGTGGCTACACAAATATATTTTTACTAATGGAACCCATATTGTGTGATATTTTCCTCAGAACAGTAAAAACAACTTGTATCTTACTTCTTTAATGATTTTTAATGTCTGAGACATAATTTATATTTCTTCGTAGAGTTCCCTAAGTTACTCTACACCAAAGTCTTGCAATTACAGGCAATCCTAACAGCATTTATTCTTTGAAACAGATTAGTTCCTGTAACAACAGAACAAAACCTGGTGGTGATCGTGGTGGGGGTGCAATATTGACATTTTCCCATTGGGTTGAATACCAGCCCATACTGAAGAAATTAAGCATTCCTTATCTTTTGGTTGCATGTGGGCTGTGTCAAACTAGTTCTGGGTGCACAACAGTTAAACTAGTCCCGATTCCGTAATAGGAGCTGGATGTATGGTATGGGAAACAGGGGGAGGGTATACTCTGAGGGTATGTGATAAAATCAGAATTTCTAGCTGGTGACTCCTGGCCACAGGATATTTGATACTGGCTGAAATGTTGCGTTGCTTTACAGAGCATTAAAATTTCACATCTGGTATTCAAAATTCACAGAATGAAAACAAACTCCATATGTTTTTGACTAATAACCCTTTCAATCACTTACTTAACCTTTGCTGTGTATCCAGACACAAGGATAGAACACACAGGAAAGAAAACCTAAACTGTACACGTCCTCAAGAGCATAATCCAGTGATTAATTCAATATCTTGGGAAAAATTTGGAAAGAAGATAATTCAATTTCTGAATTATTTAAAGATTGGAATTGCACTTTTTATGAAATCTGACCTATAACCAAAATACAAGTGTATAAATGATGCATGAATATGTGAAGCTATTCACAGGTCTTGGCAAGAAACTCTGCTACCATGCACACATTATTTCATGGTATTTAATAAGGTGTCTGGAATGATTTTTTTTGGCAGATGCAATTCTCCAGCTCAATCTGTGTTTTCACTAACCATTGTTTTCCTTTAAATAGCACAGCTAGATGATTTTTTTTAAAAGACCAGTATATAGCAAACAAAACTAATGAATGTTATCCTGTGTATTTACATCACAGTTTATTTTGCCAACATCCATTATTCCTAGTACAAAATGTTTAATATAAAAAAGCCTTAGATAAATAATCAAATAATTATAGTTTTTGCTCTGTAAAATAATTAATAGCTTAGTTATTAAATGCCAATGATTTGATTTAGTGGTTGTCCTGTTAGCAATTACTGTTTGCATACAGTACTTGGTTCTGCTCAATGCAGCAACCATAAATTATTTCATTGTAAAGCATGTCAAGGATGTTGACAGGAATTCTAAGCAACTTGGTGCCACCTTAGCTTGTAGTGCAGCATTATCTAATTTCTGTTCAATAAAATATATTAGTAAATGATCTTAAAATTAATAAATCAGCCCCAAGTAGATGATATTAACAAATTGCATTACTAAGTAAAAGATTATATTATACATTTGTAATTAAACTTAATAGCAAAAAACTTGCCAAGTTGAAGTTGTTTCTTTTTGTCTCCTCTGCAGAGGATATGTTTTGAAAAAATAGGTATACCTTTGAATGGTTTACTCTTGGCACACAGCCCACATTGACAGGAGTAAGATTTAGCAGATCAGAGGTCAGCGTGCTTTGTTTGAGGCATTCTTAATTTTCCAGTCATTTATCCTGAAACAGATTTTAGTGGATTGGAAAACACACTTGAAAATCAGGCATTGAATTAATCTCCTAGCTTCACAGTTCTCCTTATTCTATGACCATTAATCGTAACAATCAGGAAATTAGGAATGCTACAAATTGCATAGAATCCCTACAGGGCAGAAAGAGGCCATTCAGCCCATCATGTGTGCACTGACCCCCCCTGAAGAGAATCCCACCCTGACCCCACCCTATTCCCATAACGCCGCATTAACCATGGCTAGCCCACCTCACCTGCACATTTCTGGACACTATGGGATAATTTAGAAACAAAAACATAAGTTCCTGGAAAAGCTGACCAGGTGTGGCAGCATCTGTGAAGAGAAATCAGAGTTAACATTTTGGATCTGGTGACCTTTCCTCAGAAGGGACCCAAAACGTTAACTCTGATTTCTCTTCACTGATGCTGCCAGAGCTGCTGAGCTTTTCTAGCAACTTCTGCTTTACAGCATCTGTGGTTCTTTCAGTTTTTATGGGATAATTTAGCATGGCTAGTCCACCTAACCTGCACATCTTTGGACGGTGAGAGGAAACTGGAGCACCCAGAGGAAACCCATGCAGACATGGGGAGAATGTGCAAACTCCACACAGACAGTCGCTCAGGGGTGGAATCGAACCCAGGTCCCTGGTGCTGTGAGGCAGCAGTGCTAACCACTGAGACAACATGTCACCAAAATTGAACGTGCGAATTTGTAGATCCACAATTCCGATGAACAAGCTTTAAGTGCCTTCGGATATTTTCTAGTTCAAAGGCACCGTATAAATTCGGATTGTTGTTGTTGTTGACTCCGTACAGATGTTGGAGTTTATTGAAAACTTCTGGATACTGACAGTTCGGACCTGTCTCATGAATTTCTAATTTGGGATCCAGGCAGATTGTGACAGGCAGATTATCCAATCATTGTGGTGGGGATCATTAGCCAGTGTGATCCTTCAAGTTGCATGCACATAAACTTTCCAGCCAAAGCCAGAAGATTGGGATTTGGAGCTGAAATCATAAAATTGTGAAGACATTCGATTCCCAGGATGAGGCTGCCGGAATCAATAAGCTCAACACAGACCAAGGAGTGAAAATGGTAGCTTTCTGCTGGGTGACCAAATCTGGCATTATAAAAGTCCACATATTGGAGAGAAATATTGTTGTATATATGTCATGCAACATCTTTATTTATTGTATCCATATTCTTTTGTAGGCTCATCTGCCCCCATGTGGCAAACTTTTGTCATGGCACAGAGCTAACCACGTTTAAAAATGTATCAGAGATAGTAGGAACTGCAGATGCTGGAGAATCTGAGATAACAAGGTGTAGAGGTGGACGAACACAGCAGGCCAAGCAGCATCACAGGAGCAGGAAGGCTGACGTTTCGGGCCTAGACCCTTCATACACTCTGTGCATTTTCTGTCAGAAACATGAGCATGATTTTTAAAAGTGAGATAACAAGGTGTCTTTCTGATGAAGGGTCTAGGCTCGAAACGTCAGCCTTCCTGCTCCTGTGATGCTGCTTGGCCTGCTGTGTTCATCCAGCTCTACACCTTGTTATCTCACTTTTAAAAATCATGCTCATGTTTCTGACAGAAAATGCACAGAGTGTATGGCTTGGAATTTGTTGGACAGTAACATCACTTGATCATCATTAAAGCTGCAGGAAACTAGAGAATGAGAGAATAATGCTCGTAATACAATGGCATTATTTGTTGGAAAGTGAGAGCCTCTCTGAAATAGCCATTGATAAAACTGGAAAAAGATCAGAATACAAATTACAACACTCCCCTCCTCCAACTGAAAAAGCAGCAATGGCCAATGTGTTGCACTGAGCTAGTTTTATGACCATTTGCAAGAACACAGTAATGTCATCCTCAACAAATCTTTGATTATTCACACAAACAATTGTGATTTGCTGGTAGCAATGGTTTGAGAATAACACCGAAACACTATAACACAAGCATTTGCATCTTAAGCAGTTGAATATTGGGACAATATTGCTTTTCAAAGTAAATTTTAATGTAGGACAACTGATGAAATTTATGATTTGAGCATCTCTATACTTCATGATAAACGAGCACACATATATCTTAAAAATTTTTAAATCTCTCATAAGCCTAGTGAATGGCTCTAAAGTCGATCAGTGAGATGATGGCCAACCAGGCCATTGGTTGCAATGGGCTTTATGAAAAATCACTTCAAGTTTTATAATTAAGCTATGACTTACCATTGGAAATTTTGAAGCAATAGCCAATTTTTAACGACGGCTGAAGATTTTTCAAAAATGCTTTTCTTGTAAAGTGAATGTTGCTAGAAAAGTACAGAATTTATTGCCTCACCCTGGTTGCCCTTGAGGATTGTGGTGGTCAGTATCTACTGCAGTTCCTGTCATGAAAATACTCACCAGTGATTTCAGCTCACCAATTCCATATATTTAACTCAGTGATGATGAAGGTATATGACGCTGAAGAAAACTTCTGGTTCTCCGTTGCCTTCTAGTTGCAAAGGGTGTGTGTTTGGGAGGTGCTACAGATTAACTGCAGTCATGGTACAGACAGTGAAAATATTTAAACTGATGGATGAACGCTAATCAAGGTTTGGCTTAGAATATGAGCTTGTTGAGTGTTGTTGCAGCTGCACCCATCATGGCAAGTTTAGAGTATTCCAACACAATCCTGATTTCTGCCTTATAGATGTTTTAAATCTTTCTCCTCTCATCTTAAAATTATGGCCCCGGTCTTGAATTCCTCCACCACAGGGAAAAATCACTTTATCTATAGCCCTCATGATTTTAAAACCATCTATAAGGTCACCCTCCATACTCCAGTGAAAAAAGTCCCAGCCTATTTAGCCTCTCCTTATAACTTAAATTTTCCATTCCTGGCAAATCTTTTCTGAACCTTCTCTAGCTTAATAATAGCTGTCCTGTAGCAGGGTGATCAGAACTGTACAGAGTACTCCAGAAGAGGCCTCACCAATGCCCTGTACAACTTGAACATAACATCCCAACTCCTATACGCAAAAGGTCTAAGCAATGAAGGCAAGCGCGCTAAACGCCTTCTTAACCACCCTGTCTACATGTGATGCACACTTCAAAAAACTGTTTACCTGAACCGCCAGATCTTCCCATTCTACAGAACTACCCAAGGCCCAACTTTTAATTGTATAAGTCCTGCCTTTGTTTGTTTTATCAAAATGCAATACCACGCATTTATCAAATTAAACTCCATATGCCACTCCTCAGCCCATTGACCCAATTGATCAAGATCTCTTTGTAATCCTAGATAACGTTCTTCATTGTCCACTATACTACCAATGTCATTGTAAACTTACTAACCATGCCTTCTATATTCTCAACCAAATCATTTACATAAATGACAAACAAAAGCACCAATCCTTGTGGAACACCACTGGTAACGGGTCTCTAGTCCGAAAAGGAGACCTCCACCACCACTCTGTCTCCTGCCGTTAAGACAATTGGCAAGTTCACCCTGAATCCCATGTCTCATTGTCTTTTTGAAGGCCATCTCCTCCTAAGGTACATCAATCTAAATCAGAGACAGATATAAAATTCCAATCTATACATTATTGCAGTTAGTAATAAAACAAACGTGCAAAGATACTTACTCTTTCATTTCTTAATGTCTGTTGGTGAATGGCAAGGTCCCTATGGCAGCAAAGTACTTAACAGCAGTGTCCCAGGTTACTAAGCAAACTCACTTTCTTGACTCATTTCTCTGTATAGCAGAGGGCTCCAAGATCATGTTCAAAAAGATCTTCTGCATCTTTAGTGTTGTTCAGAGTGTTGAGAAAAATTAAATTAAATCCTCAAAACAGAGGAATTAAAATTCCTCTTGAAGAAGAGTTCAAGGATATCTATCACACTGAGTTCTGATGATTGGAATTCCAAAAGGCATTGTTTCAGTGCCATACAATAACTTTGTGAGAAAAGCTTTAGCTCATGGAGTAAAGGAGTCAACAGTGATTTGGATACAACATTGGCTGAGGAATAGGAAACAGAGAGTCGTGGTTAATGGTATTCTTCAGGCAGGAGGGAAACTTGGAATGGAGTTCCTAAGCCTGCTCTACATCCAACTCAGGACCCTGTTTCAGCTTTGTCTCCATATCCTCTGATCCCTCTAGCCCTAAAAATTATATCTAGCTTTCTTCTTGAAAACATTCAATATTGTGGCCTTAATCAATGCCTGTGGCAGAGAATGCCACAGACTCACCACATTCTGGGTGAAGAACTTCCTCCTCATCTCAGTCCTAAATAGCCTGCCACGGTATCATTAGTCTTTGACCTTGGTTCCAGCAACCCAGTTATTGAGAAGATCCTCATAATTCTAACTCAGAGTTAGTAGGAACTGCCGATGCTGGAGAATCTGAGATAACAAAGTGTGGAGCTGGATGAACACAGCAGGCCAGGCAGCATCAGAGGAGCAGGAAAGCTTACGTTTTGGGTCTGGACCCCATTTCTGAAGAAGTGTCAAGACCCGAAATGTCAGCATTCCTCCTCCTCTGATGCTGCCTGGCCTGCTGTGTTCATCCAGTTCTACACCTTGTTATCTCCTCATAATTCTGCCTAGTCCTGTTAGAAGTTTTTAAGTTCCTATGAAATCCCCCCTGAACTTCGTTCTTCTAAACTTCAGTGAAAGTAGCCCTAAGATCCGAACTCTCTTTATATATCATGATTGATCTCCAACACTTCCCATCAGTGTGCAAGCATGAATCTAAGTTTTTAG